AGGGTTGTGTTCCAGATGCCTCATCAGGAAATCGCAGATGGCTTAAAGCTGTGCCTGGTGGGCGCTTTACAGAAGTTCCACGAGGTAAGGACATGGCAGATGGATGAAACTGCATCTCGCCTGAGACAGGCATCACTCCTGTGAGCTAGAGTGCTGCTCCATTTGTGGGGCAGCATTGTGGGGGCCACTTGCTGCCTTCAAAAGTGATTGGATGCTTCTGTGGACATCAATATTTAGAGCTGGCCTACGTGGCACACCTCAGAAAAGGTGTGAAAATTCAGGGTCTAAGTCTGTGACTATTAGAGATCCGGGTGAGACCTGTCTGGGAGCCAGATGATCATGGCAGCCTCCTGCAGGGTTTTTATGCCATCCATTGAACTGTTTGCTGCTGTCTGCTCCCAGAGGTGGCATGGAGGATGGAACAGACCTCAGGCCTTCCGTGGCCATCGTATATGCACTGCTGTCTATAGAGCACCATGAACTGAAACGTCTCCTCCATCCCACTCTGATAAAGCAGATGCACGACTTGGTCAAACTGTAACTTGCTTGTTCATGAGGTGCCAGCTTTGGCAACACAAATGGAAATCCATCCTGACTGGCAAAATCGGGCAGGTTCAGTGGAAGTGTGAAAGTAATAGAGTAGTTGCTTTGCAGAACTCACTGACCCCTTGTTGTTTGGACCAAAATGTGAGACCTTCTGTTCGTATCTCAGGGACTCGCTCAATTACCTTGATGAGGATTGCTGCATAGTTGGAGCCATTGTTGATTTCTTTTTCTTGCTTTCCTTCCTGCTACCTGTTTTAACCGGTTAGATCCTCTTATCACCGAGCAATCGGTTTATAGCAACCTTTTATATTACTATAAAACTTCTCCATGCAAGAAAAGGAATGTTACAATGTGTGTGAAAGTACTGGGCCACGTATGCAGCTCCTTAATTTACCAGACTTGCTTCAGAATAGCAGCCAGTGCCTCTGAAACAGGCATCCATGCCTCTACACCTGTGGAGGATAGTTCCATCTGTCTAGTGCATTTCCAGCCCAGTTCTTCTGTAGGCTTTTCTCTCTTAAGCTTCCCTTGGGAAAGGCACTAAATTAACAGCTCTGGAAACAAGTCACATAGCAGGTCCCTGATGGGCAGTGGTGGGTGTAGGATGAACTATTCTTCACCTTTGTCCTGTTATCCCTTCACCATGATCTGGAAGTAGACTCCTGAAAAAGAGTTCAGACCTCCATGACCTGTTCAGTCCATAGCCTTCCTGGGTCCCAAGGGTACTAGTGATGGTGATAGGTTTTAGGGTGTAGATACCTGCCTATTTGGAACTAAACTGAGATTTGGCAAACTCATTTCACGCAGGAGTTGAACAAACAAGGAAGTTGACACCAGAGGCAAAAGGCCCTGTGCTCAAGCCTGAAGTGTCAGAAGGTGAACTCTGTGACCCGTGAAGCTGCCTTAAAGTGATACCTTGCATGTGAAGGGAGGGAGTGGGAATTTGTAGTTCAATTGATAGAAGTGGCACGCTTCCCAGTAAGATCTGGCATGGCATTGTCTTTGTCTAAAAATACTATTCCCAGATTGGGGTGGGGGGTGGAGGGGTGAAGTCTGAACATGAACACCAATGCCTCAGCTGCTAAATTCAGAGGCAGTTCAGTTCAGGCTCTCCAGTGCTGCATTGTTTTTCCTCCAAGTGATGCTGAATTGCAGCAGTCACTTTAACTAAAAGGCTTGTGTTCTACCCTCCTCCTTGCAAACTGCACTTTGTCAGCAGAGGCTGTGCTTACCGGGCAGGCGTGCTGTGCCTGTGCAAGCCAAAATCCCAAATATAATGTGGCCTCCTTCACAGGTATGGGTTGCTGCAAGCCATCCAGCCCTATAGAAGATCCTGGGCCATCCATGACGTTACGTTGTTTCTCGTTCAGGTGAACCACTGTTTACCCGAGAAGATAGTGGTTTACAGAGACGGGGTATCAGACAGCCAGCTGAAAATGGTGGCCAACTACGAGATCCCACAGCTCCAAATGTGCTTCCAAGCCTTTACAAACTACCAGCCCAAGATGGTGGTCTTTGTGGTTCAGAAGAAAATCAGTGCAAACTTCTATTCAGCTTCTTCGGAGGACTTTGGGTGTCCTCCCCCCGGGACAGTCATTGACCACACGGTTACCAGCAGAGAGTGGTGAGTGGCAGGCAGCCTGCAAAGGCCCATTCTTTGTTATCATCTAGCTCTTGCCTTTCCTGTCATTCTGTAGCCTCCCTTAGAAGCAGAGAGGTTACATGCTTCACCTGTGGTGTGGGTTGGGCATGGCTCAGCCCTGCCATATAGCCAGGAGCTGTCTGTTCTTTTTGGAGGGTTTAATGGGTTTGATACCTAGGTCTAATGATGCATTTTTTCCTACAGGTTGCTTTTTGTGTACAAAGAGCAGGACGTGTCATTTCTGCATGTGCATTGCAACAGCATTTTTCATAGTGGGGTATTTTTCCATTGCTCTTGACCTGCAGGTGGGTTCCTTGCCACAACACAAGTGACTGCATTTCTAACGTAGTGAAGGAATGTGGCTTTGGGAGGAAAAGCCCATTCTGAGTCTGTATATCTGTGGCATTGCAACTCTGCTAACCTTAAGGTTGTGATGCTCTTTTACTGAGCAGGGCACATTAAGAGAATAGGCAGGAAGGTCATACTGTGATTTCAGCTTTGAATGATGCCTTAAGGCAAATTTCAGTCTCCAAACCTTGCACCCTTCTCACATAAGGTGTAGAGGGAGCTGCCACAGGCTTTTCCCCACTTTTCCAGGCACAAAATTGGATGCTTTCTCACAGATATTTTTTTGTCCTCAGGGTAGATTTTTATTTGTTGGCTCACCACGTCCGTCAAGGCTGCAGCCTCCCCACCCACTACATCTGTGTGCTCAACACTGCCAACTTGAGTCCTGATCATATGCAGAGGTAAGAGTAGGGTCAGGAAGTACTCCAAGAACCCCGATATGCAACATGATGCCACTGAGGACCAGAATGTTCCCTAGTTCAGTCCCACTCCTAGAGCGTGGTGAATGGCGATTCCCTGACATCTTTGGATGTGAGTGCAGATGTGTCTTATGTTTAACTGCCTCCCCACAACAGGAAATGAACTCAGCGTGGCTCACCGTCTCCGTTTCGGAGCTAGTGTGTTATGCTTGGGCTGGCAGAATCATTGGCTAGTTTTCCACCTTGCTTGTTCATAGGAACATCAGCTTGAGGTATTCCTGCATGCTCTCAAGAGAAGTCCTTTTCAGAAGTCCAGTGATGATGGCATAAGATTTGGCATGCTTTGGCCATTTCTTGTAATCTGATATTTTCCAGTAGGATTTACCAGAGTTTCTCAATGTTCTGGTACAAGCTGAAAAAGCATAGAATTTTGCTGGCATCCTACCTAGTATTCTTTCCCAGGCTTGATGTTGCAAGAAAGTTAACTAGAGCCCAGTGCATATTTATACAAGAACAAGGTTAAGCCTGTTCCTGTCCTGCCATAGCTGATGGGCTGGAACAGCAGGGATGTAGGGGAATGAAGATAGATAGAAGAGAAAAGGAAGATTGGATACTTTTGTGTAATTTTCTACATAAGACAAGGAAACAGGGAAGAGAACTGCAAACAAGTTTAAAGCAGATGCGCAAAAGATGATTTCTTTCCAATTCGTGGTTAGCATGGGGACCAGATTGTTGCAGTGTACTGTTAGAGAGAAAGGGTTAGAAAGATTGCCAGAAAACTTGGATGTTCCTTTGGATGTTGAGTACACACCCAGTTGCATGGAGTACAGTAGTTTATTTTGTTTAGAAGAGAAAAAGGTGAAACCTTGTGCTGTAAACTCAAGCTGGCCATTTCTTGACGGGGACTGGGGAAGAGTTTCCTCTGCAGGTTGATCACTTCCGTAGTGGCCCAGCAGGGATTTTTACAGCTTCCTCTGACGTAGCTGGGTACCAGTCCTTGTCAGAATGGGAACAGGGATCTGCCCCAGCATGGCAAGTCGGTGAGAGTGGGGCCGGTCTTTCGAAAGCACTTCTGATGCACCTGCAAAGAGTGCTTCTAATACATTCATGACAAGTGGTATTGCTCCGTAGAAGAAGGGAGTCCTGGGGTGGAAGAAATGCATCTTCATACACTCTTCTTTCCCTCTCACGTTCCCAGGTTGACTTTCAAGCTCTGCCACATGTACTGGAACTGGTCAGGCACTATCCGTGTACCAGCCCCATGCAAATATGCCCACAAGTTGGCCTTCCTCTCGGGGCAAGTACTGCACCATGAGCCGGCAATTCAGCTGTGTGACAAGCTCTTCTTCCTGTAACCTGGAGAGCCGGGAAGTGTGGATGAAAATCCAGGTCTGCACACTGGACAGGGACTGTTTCTGCTGTTCTGGGGACACTGCACCTGGCTGCCTCTGCTGATTTGTTGGAAGGGAGACTTTTTTTTTCTTCTCCCCTAAAGTTCTGTTTTATAAAAATAATAAAAAGAACATTTTGTTACTCAGAGTTGAGTCCTTTTACAGGTGACACAAGCATTCGAGTGAGGGGAAGGGATGTTGATGGGGGAGGAGAGGGGGGCTCTGTTCTGGGTTCTGCTTCTTCATTTCTGCTTCTGTCCTGTGTATGAAAATGGAAGCAGGATGCCAGGGTGACAACACCATCCTGCTGGACTGATGGCAGGGAGGCCGGCTAAACTGGAAAGAGGTGAAGGGCAGAAAGACAGGTGATGATCAGGGCTTTGGTCAGGAGTGAGGAAAGTAGGTTGGTGAAGATAAGCATGCCTTAGCTTTGACACCA